TGGATAGCTTCCAAGTTCAGTGCTTGATGTCCAATTATATCTGCAGTAAAATGGCACTTAGAAGTAACTAGCACTTCCAGATAGGAACTTCTGATGATCTGCTAGAAAAATTCAGAATCAAGATATTATAAAACACTTTAACATCATAAAAACAGAGGAAGCCAATGAACATATTGATACAGTGCCTTCCCTGATGTTCTGTCCTCAAATTATTAGAAGTGTTTGGACTTTGTTTTTACCCTTGACAGAACTCTACTGTTGCCATATTGTCCTATCTTTACCTGTGCAAAGCACCCAGAAGTTTGAGTGCTTTAAGGACTTCACAACATGGGCAGGTGCTTCTCAAGTGACCTGTTATTTTTCAAAAGTCTGTATGGATAACATGGCTGTCAACCAAGACTAGTTCTTTGCATTTCATTGGAGCAGGTTTAGATTCATACCCTGAGAACTAGGTGTATATTTTGGTTCATCAGGTGGAATTAGGTTTTCCAGAGCTGTCTGGACCCAAACCTAGATGCCAAACATGTGTCCCTGCAAAGGCTCCTGGCCTGTCATTCTCTAAAGGGGAGATACACTGCCTTGAGGCTTGGCACACTGATAATGCTGGTGGTCCCAGCTAGAACCTTTCTTCTGGTTCCTCTCTGGGGGAGAGTGATGAAGTCAAACATCAGCATCATGAGTGATGACTCCAGTTCCTTCATGTCTGGATTTTGAATGTTCTGGATCAACTTTAACCTGGATAGCTGATAGATATCTTAAAATACAGACTCTGAACCAAGTCAAGTATCTGCAAGTCTGGGAGGGATTGCAGAGTCTGAGGTTTGTTTTCCTTGTTGCAGTTAGTGGCAAAACAATCTTGATTTCTGCTGGCTGTAGAGTAAGGTGAGTACTAAGCTCTGCTGAAAATGGTACATATGGATCACATCTCTGCTGTCAGAGGCACACACTGGATTTCTCTTGAGTTGTATTTCATAGTGGTGAGCGTACTCAATGTGTTTCATAAATAATCTTTACTTTCAGTATATGAGCTTTAGAGGTAAGAATCCAACTAGATTAGAGCTCATACCTTTCTCAATTGACAAACGTAGTGAGCACTGAATTTTCCTGCACCAGTGACTGCAAACTCTGAAAGGACCAACAAGTAGGTCCTTAGCAGGCATAGGAGAGCTCTACAGTGCCTGTCCTTGTGAAGGATCTGGGACTGCACATGGAAGTGTCATGGTGTGCAGTTCATGTGTATTCTGCCACTACATGGGCCCCAGAGGACTTAGATGATAGTGTAATTTGGGGAGCAAAGAGATGCTTTGAGTTACTGGGAGGGAACACACAGCATTTCTTGCAGGTGATGGAAATGTTCCTTTGTTGGGGAAGTGAGACTTTTTGCAACTGTATCTGAAACTGAAAAATCAGACTAAGGCCATGACAGGATTGTCCACATGCCATACTGTTGGCCTTTTCTATCTGGCTTACTTCAAGTATGGGGTCTCACAAAGTCACATCCTATTATTTGTCAGCCATGAATCATCATTTCTTTTAACTGGTTAAATTGAGGAGCAAGGTGCTAGGAGAATGACTCTCATTAATCAGGGCAGATGGGTTGAATTAGTGGTCACACTTTTTTATCCCTAGCCAGTAGAACTGGCTTGACAGCCAACAGCAGTCTTATGGCTCTTATTTTGTTCCTGAAGGGAGCCATTATCTTCTTCCCTTGGCAATTTTTAAAGTTCTTTATTACTGTGTATCATACAGGCATTGGATAAAAAATTTAGTACCCACCACATTGCCTGCAGTGTAGCAGCTAAAGGGCAGTGGGACTCCTGTCCCGTGTGGTGTACTCCATCTTTACACAAAGCTGCCTCTCTTGCACCAGTGGTGAGAAGAAGCTGGATGTCTAGCAGAAGTTTGATAAGAGCATGACAAGAGCAGCTCACTCCTGTCAGAGATATTCTTGAACTATTTTCCTACCAGGCTGGTAGTGGAAGTGGAGATCCACAGGGATTCACCATCATTCAGCAGCTTGGGTTCGTGTCTCTGTAGACAGTGGTCCTGCTCCTGCCACAAAAAAAAAAAATAATTCCGAAACAAAAACAACAGCTACAACAACAACAAAAAAAAACCCCAGTAGCTTTTTATGTGCTCAGTAGCAAATAGCTTTGTGAGAATGATGACCAAAGAACTTTTCTGCCCCTCCTGGTGGTCTACTAGCCTGGAGTGGGGACCTTGGTGGTCTCAGCCTGACTGGTTTCTCTAGGTCAGTGCTCAAGACAAGGTGGTGGGCTTAGCTGGCCTAAAAATTGTCATGCCAGGGCAAGGAGTGAAGAAAGCAGGCTGGTTTCTAAACTCTTCCTCACCACTCCCTGGGAGATTGGGACCACAAGAAGAGAAGGCCCTGTAAGGTACTTGGAATAAGCTGGGAAGTGCATATGGGGAAAGATTTTTTGTTTCTGCCACCAAAAAAGGGTGCAGCAGCAGGTAGGGCCCTGGCAGGAGGTGAGGGAAGGGCTGTGGCCATAGCCCCTGGCCAGGCTTTGTCTGCCATGCAGATTAGGTGCAGGGCTTTTCTGGCTCAGCAGTTGCTAGGCTCTTCCCTGCTATTGACTTGGTGGAGAGGCTGAGGGGGGTGGGTGGGAGGGACTGCATTACATTGTTTCTTTGAGTTGTTTTTCTCCCCCCTTCTATGGGGAGATGGGCTTGATCCTCTGGTTTTGGATTTCAGAGGCAGAAGGCAAGACATGACCAGCTGGTGTCTTGAAATGACACAGGTGCAGTGGCTGCGGGAGGGGGGAGCCAGGAATAATTACAGGTTTGTGAAGCATCAGGCTCTGCCTGAAAAGGGCTCATCGAGAAACCGCTCTTTATGGAAAATTAATGGTGAAGCTGGAAAAACTGTCAGGCCCACTATTGTTGTCATGGGGTAGTGATGCCTTAAAGGAGCAGCACCTCCTGCTCGCCTCCCCTCCATGGGCAGCCCAGAGCTGGCATGCAGCTTTCTGATCCCACAGCAATTGAAATTTCATGTCACTGTCATCAGATTTAATGGCCTTGAGTCCTTGTCTCTTCTCCCTGCTGCTGCCCTCCCCCTTTCCACCCCTAATTTGTGATTATGCTTGCTCTTTCCTTTGGAAGCCTTTTATTTATTTGGCCCCTAAACCTGTTTCTGCCCCATTGGATGAACGCTAAGTGGACCAGAAAGCCCAAATTACATGATGTGAAGAACTCAAAAACATTGCCTCTCCTGGTGGTGGGGGTTATTCCTGAAAGACTATGTGGCATGTTGGAAAGCTTCTCCCAAAACCCATTAGGATTTATCTGGGGAGAGACCAGACTCTTAGCTAAAGCTCTTTCTCATAGTACCAGAAATGCACCTTATAAAGAAAACAGAAAGGTTGCTAAGGCAAGGACAATTGATTGTGTCCCACGCCCAGGCCTGTGTACAGACAGTCTCATACCTCTGAATATAACATACATGCTAAAGTATAGCATGTCTCACCTGCATATATTCTGTTCTCTTGCTTTGTGTCCATCTCTACAGCTCAGATCTATAATCAGCTATTATTTAAAAAAGAAACAACAGTGTGGCAGATTTTGTGGTGAACTTGAAAGACATCCCTCCACATTGTATCTGCAACCAACAGTGCTGTTTGTGGGAGCTTTGAAAGTAATAATCTCAAATTACCTGCCAGTTCCTAGAGAGCTGTCAGTGGGGCCTCCTTACATTCCTGTTGATGAGACCTTTGTACTCAGAAGGCAGAAGTCTCTGTCTCTCCTCTGGTCATATGAAGCTTTTATTTCTTGATCAGATGCTGGACTCTCCAGATTGAGATGTAGTTGGGTCACCAGCTCCCATAGATTAAAAATTTTTTACTAAAACCCCTTTCTTAATATTGGTAGAAGTGTTCTCTGAGGAGTAGTTTTTAGAGGTTTCTAAAACGTATTAGTTAGAATGTCTCTTTCTCCAAGCCCTGTGAAATCACAGTGGTGGTATTAAACCAGCTATCCTTTCAAGCTGCAAGAAATGAAAAACAGTGCTAATAAACTCCATTAAAAGCTCCTGAAACTGCAGCAAATGGTTCTCTATAAACAATAAAAGTTTTTAGTGTTGGCTGTGGAGGACACTGGGGCAGTGCTTTGGTGGCTGAAGGCTTTATTGGGGCAAGCTCAGGACACTTCATAATAAGACACATTCACATAGGGGGGTTCATCCCATCCTTGTGCTGATGATCACTGCTGTGGAGGTGCAGGAGCACATTTTTATGTGATAGCCTCTTTGAAACTTCACCTACTTTTTAATAAAGGGATGAGTGTGTGTTTGTGTGCAAGTCTGGTGTCCTGTACGCAGGAAGCTCCATTTGACCAAGTGTGCCAAAACTCTCTCTAAAACTGACAGAAGTTAAAGGTTTTTTTCTGTCACCTTTCCTTCTCTTAGGCCCTTTAAACAAGCTGTGGTCTCACTGGAAGCTTTTCTACCTCCTATCTTAAAGTGTCACACTTCAGAATTGTGTTGTTCAAGGAAGATTAGGCCCCAGCCAACTACACTGAGTTAAATTTGGAGAGAAAATTAATGTTTGTGAAGGAAGAGGAAGCAGTTATTTGGAAAGGTGACTTTTTTGTTTGTACATGCCAAATGATGACTCTATTAGGATAGTTTGATATGGAAGTGACAGATTATACTTTAAGTTGGGAAGGCCCTGGTGCCCATGGAACAACAATGTATAGACTTTAATGAAAATGTATTGGATACTTTCTGGTTGCTGTATCTTCACTTTTAGTATAATACCTGCTACCATATGTGGGTATTCCCAGACTCTCTCTGAGCAGCCTCAAACAAGTGCCAAACCTTTGTGTCTCCCAGGGTGTGACTATCTCACCAGAAGATGCTGCTGTTGATGAGTGCTGTCTCAGAATGGCTCTGGACCATGTTCTGCCCTCGGTGGCAGCTGTGCTGCAATCTCTCTCTAACAGCGATTTCTCTCCCTCCCATCTCCCTTTCCCTTCTGCAGACATGCCTGGAGTTAGAGCGGTATCTTCAGACCGAGCCACGGAAGATCTCTGAGACCTTTGGTGAGGATTTGGACTGTTTCCTTCATGCCTCCTCAGCCCCAGATGCAGAGGACAACATACGGCGGCTGGAGCCCATCCTTTTGCCAGTGGAGACGAGCACGTGTGACAAAAGCGCCAGCATGGACATCATCCTCTCCCGTGACAAGCTGCTGTCTGAGACGTGCCTCAGCTCGCAGCCCACCAGCTCTTCCACAGAAGGCTACACGGCCGTCAACCAGGCCCAGCTCAATGCAGTGACCTCATTAACCCCCCCTTCCTCTCCGGAGCTCAGCCGCCACCTCGTCAAAACCCCACAGACTCTCTCAGCGGTGGATGGCACAGTGACGTTGAAACTGGTGGCCAAGAAAACTTCACTCAGCTCTGTGAAAGTGGGGGTAGCAACAGCGACTGCGGGGACAATAAAAAGTGGGCAAAGTGACAGTGAGCAAGGAGGTGCAGGGACAGAAGCATCCCCAGAAAACAAGAAGAGGGTTCATCGCTGTCAATTTAATGGGTGCCGGAAAGTTTACACAAAGAGCTCCCACTTAAAGGCTCACCAGAGGACTCATACAGGTACTTATGCAGGGTGCTTCTCTCATCTTGTCCTGCCACCTACCCGTAACCATCTCTTTTTATTCTCATTTAGAAAAGAAAAAAAAATCTCTTCTGAAAGTCCAAGCTTCTGTCTATGAAACAGAACAGTGGAAAATATGGTAGTCCAGCAAATGTATCCATTATTCAATAGAACAGAGGAGTTCACCATCTACCATTAACCTGTTGGGGTTTCATATGTCTTATGGGGCTTGATGCAGAGTAATTTTAGGATACCTAAGGGATGTAGATGTATCATTCATGTTAAAACTATGTGCATGTCACTTCGGGTTTTTGGCACTCACTTCCCCGAGACAACTTTAAAAATGTAAAGTTTAGACAAATGTTATTTTCTTCAAATAGAAACTAGCGTGGGTAGGTTTTTGGTGCCTTTTGTATGGGAGAAAGAGAAATGTGTTTCAGATCTTAAATATGTGGCTGAGGAATAATCTGTGCATGAGGCAGCATGTGCGTATGCAGACGTGTAGGCATGCAGAGACACATACCCTTCAGATACTCATGATCTTGGACTTCTCCAGTGCTAAAATATAGTGAGAACAAATAAAAGAATGACATGGAGTTTGAATGAAATAATGTAGGTAGAGAGGGAATGGGCTGTATGGATAGATGTGAGGTTGTTATTTTGGGTAACATTTACAAATGTGTTATATATATATCTGTGTGTAAGCTGGTTGAAGCATACCGAATTGGCTTAGGCTGCCTGTTCAGGTTCCCTCCTCTCATTGCTTCATAGTCCCCAGCAGCTCTTCAGCTGGTATTCATTGGCATTAATAGCTATGCAGTTCACACACGTTGCTGCTTTGTTCTAAGCTTCACACGTGATGAGAGATGATAAATTCCCATTAGCATTGTCTTATCATGTGATTATTCTTGTTTCCAGAGGGATTGCTATAATCAGTTTTCTCAATTTTACTGTAAAATGTGTGGTCTCTTACAATAACTGCACATTTAGTTCACGATCTTATCATGCAGGCAGATTCCTAGAAGCAAGGTTGTTCTTGCAAGGTAGAAAATAACACTTTGGACCAACACAGTAAATCAGATAAATATGTGGGTTGTTAAGAGAGCTGCATCCATCACATACTAGGCAGCACTGTAAAAGTTACATGGTCTGAAGTATAAATCATAGTAAGACATAAAAGGCATTGATCTTTTTATATGGGCTTTCTAGTGCTCTTACTGGGGATAGCTGCCTTGCCAGGAGTGACCTCACCTGTGATTCAGTGATTGAAAGCCAGTGAAAGTAGTACAATAATTTTAAAATCAGCACCAATGATCAGAATGTTGGTTCTGATCATAATGGTCAGAATGTTGGTTCCTTGTAGCACCAATGCTGCTGTGAGGGCTTGTCCCTGCTGGGGCTAGCCAGTGGGACATTCCAGCCAAGGCCTTCCAGCAGGTGATGGAGCTTCCATGAATGCACAAATGAAGAGTGTGAGAGCTGTTGACCCAGTGATCTTGTCTGTTCTGATATGACCTCATGTTCATTCTCAAGCTGGAAGTGATGTGTCTTACATAGCTTTTCCTGAGCTTAGTCAGGGATGTGACACAATAGTGTGGAAAGGGTGAACTTGTGAAGTTTTCCTGGTGTAGTCATGCAAATGGGGATATGAACAAGGAATCATGAGGAGCACTTACAAGAACTTCTAATCTCTCAGCACCTCAAACCTTTGGTGTCAAAATCTTGTAAGAGTTTGCATGCTTTTGAACCCAGCCTTAGGCCTGGTTGAATTTTATGAGGCCAAAACCTTTCCCCTCTAACATTACCATATGAAATATTATGTTTTACAATTAATCCACAATGAGAAACGTTTCTCACTGGCCCTGTGATCTTTCTGTTGAATAGCCTTGGATTGTAGGTGGTGCCATGATGTGCTGAGCCTGCCCATCCACAGCAGTGCTGGATGTGGTGAGAGAGGCATGTCTGCCTTTGCTGGCAGAGAGGGGAGACCTTTACCAGAGGATGAGACTGCAGCTGCCTGGATGGGTGCAGAGCCCAGACCTCCCATTCCCAGCACTTCACCTGGTGGGATCAGCTAGCTCTGATATTGCCAGTTAAACCATCAGAGGTTTAAACAGCCCCAAATTATGGGAGTGTTTCTGTTTTCATTCACCATGTCCTGAGCAGATAGCTTAGGTTGTTAGGAAAGTAGGAAGACAAAAAACAAGAGGGAATACAAGCTTGGAATGATGATCTCTCTCATCCTAACAGCTGTAAAACCACTCTGCCCCTGTCCATGTCCTAGCTGTGCACCGCTTTGTAGAAAGCATGGGGATGAGGACTGAATGCAGCCTTGTTGTTAAAACACATCTTTGATGCAGAACCTGGGAGCAGAAAACCTGTCTCTCATTTTGTCTGTGGAAAGCAGGTTGCTTGTGAACATTTACATCCTGGGAGCAACCTGAGTAAATCGAGGGAAGGAGTGTGATAGGCTTGCCTAAACAGCTTATTTGAGTCTGGAGCACAGAGTCATTCAGACTCCTTCATACTGCTTGCGTGCTCTGTTCCCTAAAAACACACTGACTGCTGGATGCCTTAAATGAGAGCTGGTACAATCAGGACATCTAATGTGTTCACACTGACCTCTTCAGTGGGGTTCCCCACAGGGAGCTCCTGCCTCTGGTGAAAACGTGGGACACAGAGGAGTAGCTATGGATATTTGGGACTGAATTATAAATGTCAGGGCTGTGTCCTTTCCCATGCAGCCTGCAGGGCATGGGACAAGGAGCCCTTTTTTCCATGGGTGCTTTGTTTTTTTCACGCCTGAACTGAGTGTGCTGTGGGTTGCAAATGCACCCAGCAGTGCCAATGGCTAGTAGCCACTTGGCTGAGTCAGTGGCTGAGCCAGAGGGCCTGAAATGATTGCAAGATATTTTCCTTTGGCCGGTGTTTCGTTAGTGTGTCATGCGAGAGCAGTGTGCCAGTGTGGGCTCTGTGGAAGGGAGTGAGTGCCCGGCGCACAAAGAGCTCCCAGTGTGGGGCTCAGGCACTGAGGCAGATGTGGGCTGGTCACTCAGCCTGCACGTGCAAAGTCCACTTGCTGGATCAAAGGGATTTACTGCAGTGCATGAAAACAAGCAGCCATGGGCTGGGGAGCGGCTGGGGGGTGGAAGGCAGCGGAAGGAGGCTGCATTCCTTTCATTCATATGTAAGGCTGACCAGACAGGCGCTGGCTGCTGTTCCTGCTGCTGCGGGATGAGCCAGGCTGGGCTGCAGGCAATGCAGGCTGATAGCAGCTTGCTAGATTGGGAACAATCCTCTCTTGGGGTTTTACTTTGCTGGGAAGCCCAGGAGCCATCAAACCCCACATTTCACATTTCACTTGGTGCATCTTCCACTTACTGTCCCACATCTCATCTGCAAGAGAATCAGGACAGCACTCTAAGGCCCATCAGTGGTCGAACTGGTTATGAAACCACCTTCTGGATGACCTTTGGAGAGAGAAAAACAATCATCTGTGTGGGAGAGAATTTAATCTGGAAGGGAAAGGGAAAAACATTGTCTGTATGGAAAGGGAAATGAAAATATTTGACTGAACTCACAGCAAGCTAAAGTTAAGGGTGCATCTAAAGTTAAGGGTGTGTAAAGGAGCTAAGAGCAGTGGTGGGGCTGACTGTCAGAGTGCAGCAAAGAAGCTCCTCGGTAAGAAATAGCAGCTGGGCCTGTAAACAGGAAGAAAGGTGAGCTAGAGGTTTGGGAAAGCCACATTGCCAGTGCAGGTTTTCCCAAACGTCTAGCTCACCTTTCTTCCTGTTTTCTTTCCTGTCAGTGCAGTAAAAATATCTAAAGAAGGAGCAACCAGGACTGTCATGGTAATTCAACTCTGGCACATTCTCTCACAGTTATTCGGGGAGCAGACATCAGTGCTAACAATGGCATTTTCTCTCTTTTGAGAGAGGAAAATTTTCATCCTGCCTTCACACATGCATGGAGATGAATTGTCAATGTAATGGAGAGTGGAGAGGAAAGGAATTCCAATGAGCCAAACCCCATGTATAATCATCAGTACTTCCTAAATTAGAAAACAGGATATTGCTGGAGAGTGTTGAATGCAAATAAGTCTAAGGGTGAGCTGGCCTGTGACCTATGGAAAGATTAGTCATGGGATGTGACTGTCTCCCAGATCAGAAACTGCTGGAGATTTCTATCTCCTGACAAAACCATTCCTATCAGCCTTCCTTGCAGTAATTTGCAGGGAAAGGTATAAGATGACATGGGTTCTTTCTGACTGGGGATGATGCAGCACATAAAAACTGGCCAGGAAATCCTTAAGATTGGGACAATGATTAAAAAAATTACCCTTATGGGGTTCTGCTAGGATTTGCATTTTACAAGTATCAGAAGGTTTGCTTTTTTTTTTTTTTTTCTTTATCCATCCAAAACCAGGATTGGATACAACTGGATCTCAAGTCTGAGAAACAACAGTTGGGCACCTCAGATCTGTATTTAGGTTTCTAAGGGCTAAACAAGTGGGAAATACCCATGTAAATAGATGTTACTAGTCTACATGTGATCTTAAGATAGCACTTCTTAAGTGGGGTTTGTTTCACATTGTCAGGACATCTTATTTTAAATTATATAGTTCTTTGATCCAAAATGCTGGGTGAGAGTAACTAAAACAAACAAATCCACCCTGCAGGAAAACAAAGTACTACATTTGCAAGAAAAAGATGAGACACAAGAGATTAGAAAGAGCATTTACCAACAGAGGGTTTTTGAGATTGTGTATCAAATAATAGAGAAGAACTTTCACCAAGTGTTGAGATGAAAGAAAATATCTGGAATCTGAAAATTATTGGAGGGGACTAAGTTAAGGAGAGTAGTCTGGATGATAGGAAAGAAGATTAATACAAAGGAAAGGAATAACAGAGAAAATAAAGGCTCTGTGTCAGTGATAGCACATGAATGGGAAGCTGCATTGCTGTATTGTTTTAGTGTAGTAGCATCTGTGAACAGAAAA